CAAGCCAGTTGGTTTTTATACCTTTCTTTACTGAGTATTGTCCTTCAGTACAATACAGAGCCATTTCTTTGTTCTCACAAGCTAGCAGTTAAATTGTATGTAAATGTATGCAAATTAGATGCTGTCTAATAAAGAGAGTCATTAGATGGAAGAAATATTTAGTTTAGAAAAAAAAGCAGGTGTATTATGTAAAAGAAAATGTAAGGCTACAAAAAAGCCCAAACTTCTGTGGACAGTTATAGAAAAAATTATTAAAGAATTACGTCTTCCTGACCTTTCCTTTGTGCTTATATACATGTGTGTGTTTTAAAAATATTTACATATAAAACTAGGGGATTGGCTTCTTTCCCAGAATTACTGGAAGCACCTTCACCAGGAACATTTGGACTTGAATAATCTCCACAACAGCATTTTCCTTCTTGAATTAAATGAATAGTAAAATGAATGCTTTGCCTAAGAACACTGACTGCTTATTTGGGTTCCTTTCCCATAGGTGGATAGAGGCTTAGTGGCTCCATGGTGTGTATCTTGCAATCGGTCATCTTGGCTATTTTCAGGTTTCCTTTCCACATTACTCCACTCCACCCTCTAATACGAGCTTCTTAAAAGAGACCTCGACTATAAGCTGCTTGAGAGGAACCAACAGTTCCTTTGAAACTTTATCAATGCCGTATTCAGTGTTTACCACAATGCAGGCTTGCATTTACCAATTATACAGTAAATGACTAGTGAAAAAAAAATTGTACCATCCAGTTTCCTTAAGTCAACTGTAAGGCAAAGATGAATAGGCAGCATAGTTTCTCTTTAGGAGTTGCTAATCTACTAAAGGTATCAGATAGATATACACATATTTAATATATAGTACACTGTACAAAATAGAGCTAACAAAATATTATGGAAGCATGAGAGCTTATGGGTATCATGGATGATTTCTAGGAGGAAAGTGGAACTGAACTAAGCCTCAAAGTTGGTAAGGAACAGATGGTTGGCTGTGGTGGGGTAGAGAAAAGCAAAGCTGCAGAATTCTCCGTGTTGTAGTCCCAAATTAATAGTAATGTACTAGATTTTCTTCTAGTCTCTTGTGAATTTCCAGCAACAGCTGGATTTTAACCTCTGCAGAAACACAAATGAGAGCTGTGATGGAAACAATAATTACTAGAGTCCAGTTTTAAGTCCAAGTCAAAATTTTATTCACATTCAACTCTGAATAGGAAATAAGGTAAAACATGCAACAGGACTTTATAACTTTTTAATTTTAACGCATTATAAATATAAATTTTTATTTTATCTTATTTTTTTTTTAGAGATGGGATCTTGCTCTGTTGCCCAGATAGGAGTGTGGTGGCACCTTCTTAGCTTACTGCAACCTTGAATTTTTGGGCTCAAGGATCCTTCTGCCTCAGCCCACTGAGTATGAGGATCTAAAGGCGTAAGAATGACACAATGGACTCTGGGTACTCAGAGGGAAAGGGTGTGAGGGATAAAAGACTACAAATTATGTGTGGTGTATACTGTTCAGGTGATGGGTGCACCATAATCTCTCTCACAAATTACCACTAAAGAACTTACTCATGTAACTAAACACCATCTGTTCCACAATAACCTATGGAATAAAAATAAAAATAAAAAAATCAAACAACAGGTGCATGCCACCATACTCTGCTAATTTTTAAAAATTTTTTGTAGAGATGGGGATCTTGCTATGTTGCACAGACTGGTCTTGAACTCCTGGACTCAAGTGATCTTTCTGCCTTGGCCTCCCAAAGTGCTGGGATTATAGGTGTGAGCCACTGCATCAAGCCTAAAGTTTATTATTCATAATGTATACTACCGTCCATGGTGTGAAATAAAATTTGGGGGATAGGAGATTTAGGGACTTAGAATGGAATATCTCATGTATGTAAAGTGTCTTATAGTTTGCAAATCACCTTCCTACATTATTTTAATTACAACTATTGAGGTAGCAGAACCTGTAGTGTTATTTTCATTTTGCACATGAAGGAACTGAGGTTCTAAAAAGTTAAATCACATAACCAGTAAATGTCATAGCCAGGTTTTCCTGATAGGTTGTCCAGTTCTTTCCATGTGCCTCACTGTAACCCAGAAGCAACACATGGGAGAGTTATACAGTTATAGAAGCAGCATATATCTTGGTTTCTAATTTTCTTCTAAATATTTTTAATTGATTTGGTTTTATATCTCCATTTTCTCCATTTTAACATGGGTAAAATATATAAGACCAAACTGAGGGAGATGTATATGGGAAAGACACTGGTTATTTTGGTAACTGGTATGGATATGAAAACCATAATGAGTCTGTGGATTGAAAGCATTTTAATTTATTTTCTTGACTTCTGAGTTAAAGAAAAGATTTCAATGTGAAGGTGCAAAATATGCTGCACTGAACTAATCTTAGAGGTAACCAAAGGGCGGTGGGACTAACAGCTTTTGATATTACTTGGTGCTTATTATTGTTATTATTATTATTTCTTTTTAATTATGCAAAGTGCTAATCAGTTTGATTATGCACAGTGCTAATCAGGTTAATTATGCAAAGTGCTAATCAGTTCTTCTTGAAGCACACGAGGAGAGCAGAGGTGCTGGCGGTGAATGGCATAGCTAGATGGGGGTAGTCACGGCAGTCATTCCTTATTAAGATAGGAGTAGACAAGATAGCAAGGGGGATTTATCCATAAAAATAAATAGGAAAAGAAAGAGGACTATGAGCACATGAAAGATTGTAATTTGGACAGGACATTGCTTACACATAGGAAGCTCTTCCCCCCTGTTGCATAGTTTGGTTGGATAGTCTCTGATATATTTTGAAGGCACTCATTTGAAGCCAAAAAGACTGCAGAGGGAAAGAAACAGAGTATTGTATAGCTAGACAAGTTGTCAAAACAACTTATTGTAGTTGGCAAGCACCAATTCCTGGGAGGACAGTAAAGGAAGTAGAATCTAATAGACCTATACATGAAAAAGGACATCAATAAAGAGAACTGAAAAATTAAGGGAGTGCCATTCTTATAAAATAAACAGGGCCATCGCACTGCTGCATTGTTATTGGGACAGCCGTCTGTGTGCCTGTTTCCTGAGGTGAACTGAGGGCTGGTTTCTAGGTGTTGGCAGTGGTCTCTATTGAGAGTGGTGATGAGGAATATGACAATAAGGATTTTATGTAATAGCTCCTAGTTGGATCAGCTTTGCTGCTGCTGAAATCAAAGTGAATTTTAATATTAACTTGCAGGTCTATGCTTATTAAGCTGGGTGACTTCCTGTGAAGATGAGTTTATAGCAATATGTTCATATGTTTTTATAGAACAGTGACAGTGGTGCTCCCTTAAGAATGCCCTTTGTATTCTGTCCTCCTGTTCTATTCTGTGGTTTGATAAGCTGTCAGTGAAATGCTGTGATACCTACTTGTTTGAATGTATTCAGAGAGCAGAAAGTATTTCACTATTACTTAGTGAATATTCATTTTTTTAAAAAAATGTTTTCGGTCCATTAGACTTTTCCTTTACTCTGGAATTTAAGCAAATGTATACCTTATTTATGAAAGGGAGGGTCTGCTTCCCCCTAGATAACCTGACAGAGTATTTATTTACCTTTTCTTTTTAAGCCTATGTCTAAGCATAGCTCATCTACACAAATGCATGAAGTGATCTTATACCTGGAAATAATGGTAAGAGTGCTACAAAGGCAAAGTCATTGATGGTATCTCCAGAATAGGGTGCATTCATAAGTTATTTCTCCAGAAGTGTTGGTTCTTGGATAAAGACAGGCTTTCAGTTTTCATTATTTCTTTACTAGGACCAATTTCATTTTAAAATTTGAAGAGAATGACATAGATCTTTGGTTTCCAAGGAGAATCTGGAAAGAAATAGATTGTTAGAGGACAGCGCCTACAAATTGAGAAAGCCTGTTGGGGGCCCTTTGGGGATTTGGCTGGAAAATTCTGTTATAAGCAGTCCTTCTGCTCAGCTTCGTGGGAACATGGCTTTAGAAATGAAATATTGCTTCTTGTTCCCCACCCCCCAAAAACTAAGATAAGGATGAAATATTCATACTATCCTTTATTTTCAGAACTGATTTCTCAATAAATTTTAATTTGTCCTTACTGATTTTACCCAAAGCGTACTTTGTAAATTCTATTCATTGATGCTATACTAAACTCTTAATTTCTGGTGAAGGCATTTTAAGCCAAAGACCTTGCTACATAAAACATTTATAATGTCACTGGGATGTTGAAAGGAGAAAGTCATGTGATCCAAATGGCAAATAGAAATAAAGTTAGTAACATCTAATTAAATATGACCAGTTTTCTATTTAATTACATGCTTGCACCCACTTCACACACTTTCCCATATATGAATCCGTTAATTTCTTCACTAAACCGTGTTATTTGAGCACCTGATTTTTTTTAAGTGTTCACTATGTGCTAGTTGTAGTACCATAAACTCCCCTGGATACTGGAGCTATGATTGACTGAAAAAGAGACGAGATACCTGGCATCACCCACACAGGATGACATGATAGTTTCTCATGATACTCAGCCTTAGAAACCAAGCTTTTGTATTTCATTTCTTCTCAGAACTTCTTTTAGTAATCTGTATTATTCAACTGCCGGGCCTCAGTATCTTCAATTAGTCACAAAATAAGACGCAGGACTAGATGGTTTCCAAGGCACGTTCATCTCGTTCATATTCACGGTCCTAAAGTCTATTAGTTGATTAGACTATAAATGAAATTTATATGAAATTTAATGTCTCTCTCTTCAGCAATGGTGAGGAGGATACCCTTTCCTCGGGGAAGAGAAATCCATGGTTTGTTGCCCTTGCCAATAACAAAAATATTGGAAAGTCGAGTGGCAAAGCTGTTGCCATTGGCATCTTTCACGTGAACCACCCTCTTCAAACTGGTCCCCCTTCCCCCTAGCCCTTTTTGTACCTCCCCATCAGCCATCCACCAGGGTAAGGCCATCATAGAGTGCTCCCAGATCTGGGAGAAGGGCTTCGACCAGGCGCCCGTGGTGGACAAGGCAGGGGTGATCCTGGGAATGGTGACGCTGGGGAACATGCTGTCGTCCCTGCTTGCTGGGAAGGTGCAGCCATCAGACCAAGTTGGCAAAGTCATCTACAAGCAGTTCAAGCAGATCCACCTGACGGACACGCTGGGCAGACTCGCACACATCCTGGAGACGGACCACTTCGCCCTGGTGGTGCATGAGCAGATCCAGTACCACAGCCCCGAGAAGTCCAGTCTTCGGCAGATGGTGTTCGGGGTGGTCACCGCCATTGACTTGCTGAACTTCGTGGCGGCCCAGGAGCGGGACCGGAAGTGAAGTCTGGAGTGCGGAGCTGCCCCGGCACCTTCTCCCGCTTCACCTTCACTTTCCTGAGCCCTAAACACACACGAGATTGGGAACTGCCTGGCCTGACCCCCATTATCGCTGCAGACGGCATGGAGCATGGGTTTCCCTTCATTAACACGAGGCTTCCTAAATGGGCCTGTGTATGTGCTATGAGATGAAATGCGCTTTTCTCTGATGTAACTTGCTTTTAGGATGTTTCGCCAAGGCAGTACTGAGAGAAGTCGGCCAGGTGGGATGGACACAGGCAGTTTCTGGGCAGAGCAGATTAAAGGCAAAAGAGAGTCCAGGACGGGGATGCGGAGGGGGCAGGGAGAAGCTGGAAGGTTCAGCGTGGTCCAGCGCCGTCTGCTTGGGGTGGAGCTGGTGGGAGCACTTTGAGAGTTTGGGTTTTTTAATTAAGGCAAAATTCACATAACCTAAAAGTCAATTACTTTAAAGTGAACGATCAGCAGCACTTAGTGCATTCAGAATGTTGCGTAGGGACCAGCTCTCTCATGTTCCAGAACATTCTCTCCTCACCCAATGAAGCAGTCATTTCCCTCCCCTGTTCCTCCTCCCGAGGCAACTGCTAATCGACTTTCTACCTCTGTTGTCTGAAATAGGTTTCCCCTGTTCCAGACAGTTCATATAAATGGAATCACGCAAAAAAAAAGTATATATATATACATTATTACCACGTGAATAGCCTTAGAATCATAGAGAGTTCTTTTGGACTTTGATCTTTTAGAAAATAAGTGATTTCTAGCTAATTCTGTGGACACTGCCTCCTTGGATTTAGGCCAATACTGAATGTAGAAAGGGTGGACTTTTAAATACTCCACAGTTTGAATTTTGGCACTGGTAGTTACTAGCTGAGCAATTCATAACCACTTTGATCCTCTGTTTCCTCTTAGTCCCTACTTCAAACAGTTGGTATGAGTATTTACTAAATACTCCATAGTCAGTCCTTTTTTAATTTCTGGCAACTGTAGCCTTCATGGCTGTTGTTACCAAAAATATCTCGAGCTAATTCAATTTCCTTTCCCCAAATGTCTTCTTTCTGCATTAAGTCAATATTTAAGTTAACTCAGTATTTTCTCTCCCATTATGTCTTTACAGTTTTATTTCTTCCCGTTCTCTTTCATATATACTTTTACCACGTCCCTACTCATCCTGAGACAACTTTTGGTTACTTAAAATTTTTCATCATATGTAACATAATCTTGGTTACAACAACACAAAATGTGTGCAACTATAAGTCAAGTCAATTAAATAGAAATATGTTTTCTCTGTCAGACCTGTACCATAGTTGTTTATATTTTTAACTTACTAGTTTACAGGAAACCTCTTGAGTACAAGGGTTGTGGTTTTAATCCTTGTGTTTCCAGTATCTAGCATGGATTCTGCCAATAAGAAACTCACAACCTAGCAAGGAGAAAGAATTTAAAAGCAGTAGGATATATGATTTCTTAGAGGAATTTTAAAGCAACGGAATATATGATCTATTAGTAGGAAAGTGGAGAAGTTGGGAGAGCCTCATGGAACAGATATTGGGAAGGCTTTATGGAGCAAATAATATTTGTGTTTGTTTATTTAAAAAGGGTACTTAATTTATTTTTCCTGACAGGGAAAGAAAGTAAACTCTAGGCAGAAAGATCATGAAAAAGACTCATGCGTACAAAAAGTTGGGAGGAAATGGGACCATGAGACAGAAAGGAAGACAAGAAGGGAAGATTAGAAGCATATTATGAAGGGCCTATGTGTTATTTAATCTTATATGAATAATCCTAGCTTTCCAAAATAAGTATAAGTAGTTGTGGTGTAGAGTATGGTGTTGCAATAATATGACTGTTAGCTTTTTTATGAAGAAGAAATAGTAAGATTTAGCAACCAGTGAATACAAGAAAAAGACAATGAGAGATCATGTCAGAAAAAAAAGTCTGTATCTGGGTTGCAACTCTGTCCCACACTTGATTTGTGACCTTAAATTGTTAACTTCATCTTCCTAAACCACATATCGTTTAAGGTTACTCACTGTGATCTCCTTTCAACCTACATGAGTTTAAGTCATTTTTACTGATTATTATTAAAGAAAGCACCTATTTCGGATGCTTTAGATACCAGAGGTTAAGAATATTTGGTGTTTTTTAAGAAGAAAGATAAATTTTATACCAGTATCATGTTTAGCCTAAGCTGGTGGGAGGGTATTTGGGAAGATGAAAAGGATGACATAAAAGAACAATATTGTTCTGACCAGAAAAAGGCAAAAAGGATCTCTAAAAGTAAAAGTAAAGTTATAGCTTAAACTATCTAAGGAGGCAGAGATCCTGAAAGATGAATTTAACTGAGTTCTGCACTTGAAGAGGAACATTAATCCCTGGACCTAAAGAGACCATAGATTTCCCTGATTTGTCGACACTGTATGTTGGAAGTTAACTCCTATGATTTGTAACTAATGAAAAAATGAAATGAAAGGGTAGATGGGGCAGGGAAGATAATAAGAGGGTACTGGCCAGTGGTTTCCAAAGCTTTGACATATACATGTATGTGGTTGGGACAAAATTAATTTCATGACAATAATCATAGCCTTCTCCTTTCTTTTATCACAGAATATAATTCTTCTTCTCATTCTCTTCCATTTCTTCTAAGAACTCTCTTCATGCCAGCTAACTGTCAAAACTTGGGTAGTGTAGAATCAGAGGAATAAAAAAATAGAACTGGAAAAGTGATCATAGGGGAGGGGGGCTCAAAAGTGTTAAAATTTTACTTGGGTAAAAGAAAGGGGCTAGCAATAGAAGGAAAAATGAGGAGGGAGGAAAGAAAAGTACCCATAAGGGGTAGATGGTATAGAGAGAAGACTTAGAGGTAAAAGTAAGGATAGAGAGAGATTTTTGATACACAGTAGCTGTCCGTGTGGAGAATATTTAAAGTGGCCAAGATGAAGAAAAGAGATTTTCTCTCTTACTCTTCTTGGTATTTTCTTGAGAAGCTGAATGAATATTTGAATTTTTTATATATATTGGGGTGTGTGTATGTATCTGTGTGTGTTTGTGTGTGTGTGTGTGTGCACATGCGCGCATGTGTGTGTCTGTCTGTTTCTGCTTGGCTACTATTTCTTTGGATTAAAACTCGGGATGACCTGTGCCGTGACTTTGTTCCCCCATTCCCACCACCATCACCATTATAACACAATGATGAAGCAAGGCTCAGAATGTTCAGTTCTTTATAGTCAATAGACGTCTATGATTAATGCTCCATTAATCACCAGTTCTTGGTGTTAAGTTTAACCCCATAAAAATACCAGAGTGGAGGAGACGACAGTCCTCTCAAGATGGCCCTAATTTCTTGGGCATTTCACCTACATAATGATCTTAATTCATGTGTGTTTGTTTACTTGTTAGGGGTCAGATGAACAAAGCAACTTTTATTAACTATGACAAATTTGTGCTTAGGTGAGAGAAAAGACCTCTGCTTTTCAGGCATTATTATTTTCTGGAATAATCTTCGGGTATTAGGTAGCCAATTAATCAAGATCCCCATAAGAAATGTTAGCAAGTAAGACAATATCCAGTAAAACACTATTAGCCAACATTGATATTCAGGAATTAAAGTTCATGTAGGGTAGCTTTGGCATCATGAAATTATTCTCTGTAAGATTGAGCTACCACCAATGACATATATGTACACACTTTAATTGATGTGTGGGAACTTGGTGCCACCCTACAGCTGAGATTTCAAAGACTGTGTGAAGATTTCTTGACAGCAATTACACATTTTTTATCCAATAGATTTTATGTATTATCACATGTCCATTTTAGAAATTTTCCTTTGTTTTTATTTTTGGCATTAAAAAAGGAATGCAAACTTCATAAACTTACATTTATACTATTTGTTTGTAAGAATTCCAAGTGGGTTATGTAACATTAAGCATACAGCTATGCAAAGATTAGAAAGCTGTGGCCATCAGGAATAAATATTGGTGATAACACTGATGGGATTTCACACATATAGTTTATTCTGAGAAAGACTTGCACAGAACTTAGATCAGGAAATAGGCTTTTTTTTGGTGAAAATATTAAAGGAAGCATTTGTTATTAACATGGTAAGCTTTGAAATTTGGCTTTCTTCTTCCACTTAAGAGGAAACACTTTAAGTCCGATGAATTTTTTTCTTATGGCATTTGGGAGTACTTAATCTAGTATAAATAGATTAAGCCCCTTAGTAATCAAACATTTCAAATCAATAAAATATCTCTGAATAGCAAAATGTACCACTGCTCCAGATTCTTCCATGATATGAAAAACACAGAAGCAACAAATGTGGACTTGATTTAGTGGTCAAGGAAAATTATGATGCAAAGAAGAATTAATAAAGGACTATTTTAGTATTGGGAATGAAAAACTACCACAAATCTTAAGGGTATACATTAGCAGAACTTGGTTTGGGTTGAGTAGACTTAAAGCAATATTTTGAGCTACCTTCTTAAGGAGTTTTAAGGATCACTTTTTTTTTAATCATGAATTTATGCCACATCACAAATGCAGAAATTGGGGAAATGTAAATCTATCTCTTTTGACATTGACATAGCTTCAGTAACACCTCCTAGGTGGTTTGAGATCATCTGAGATTTTTAGAACATGGATACCTCTAGAAAAAATGAGGAGGTGCCAGTAGCTCCTCAGAAGCAGCCTAGCTTCTCACTGAAGGAAGATTCATAAGGCCTTTATAGAGCAAAGATATTTGATCAAAACATTCTTATCATATGGAACTTTTTCCTGCGTTAAAAAAAAAAATAACTGTTAGGGTAATTAAATCGGTTATTTGCAGCTTCTCTCCTTTCCCCACTTCCCTCTTCTACCTGCACAGTATTGTTTTATTGAGTTGCCCTGATAAGGTTAAAAAATGATCAACCAACCCTTACACATTTTATTATGAACAAAAAAACACTTTGAAGGATTCTATTGATACAAGCTAATGAAAGGTGACAATTTGTTTATTAAAAAGTGTTTTGAATATCTACTTCCATTGATCATGTGCAACTGGTATAAACAAAGATCCTGTGTATGGTAGAGGGCTTATATTTGCATTTCTTTGTATATTTAAGCATTTTTAGCAAACTTATATTTCTGTTTATTGACAGTACTCCTTAGACATTTGTGCAATCATATGTATACATCCACAGTAGACATTTGGGTAGGTAGTGAAGGTAAGTTCTATAGTAAATGTAACTAGAAGAACATATAAATTAGCTGTATTAGTTTTGATGCTTTGGGTAAAATCGGTGTGCTATA